TTTCAGGCTGCAGTAAAAAAAGAAATTGTTGGTATGTTGAAACACAAATTGGGTTATTTAAGGTAGACTTTGGGAAGCGATTTGACCTTACTAATTAAAAAAGAAAATATATATTAAAATGTCGATTATTGAAAATAAAAGGTCAAATTTGAATAGAATTGCTCGAATGATTCTCAACTGCAGTTAAATCTAACCCTCGAAGAAAAAATTAAAAGAAAACCATTGTCATCCTCCTCACTGAATCGTTTAGAAACTGGATTGTATTAAAACACGTTAAAAAGTATCAGTGGGTTTAGCAGACAGATGTATAACCTCATCATGTGCCAGTTAATGAACTTGACTTACATTATGATCATTAAAAATGTTGACCCTTTATTGAGGATATAACGAAGGAATGGACAAATATTATAAACTTCTCATTTGAATAAACTAAGATGCATAAATTACAACCTGTCCGCTGTGGACTATATCGAACTTCACTTTATATGAGAAATGTGATAATTTTTGGAAAATGTTGAAACATGCCTAAGGTACCAGATACCAAACTGATAAAAATATTTCTATGTGCAAAATTTGAAGAAAATCTGACTAAAATAAATATTTTTGGAGTTATTGATCATCAAAATTTTAAGATTTTATGGGGAAGGTACTAGAAGTGATAAGCCGATAAATTCCAAATTTAGATCAGACGTCTGGGTAAGAAAAAAATTTAGATATGCCAAATTTGAATAGAATCGCTACGAGAGATGTAAGTATTGAAAATTATGATCCTTTGAGGTGTGGTAATTATTCGAAATTTTGACCCGTTGTGGGGGAGGTGCTAGAAATAGTAGTCCGACATAATCCACATTCAGACCAGATTTTGCGTGGATAAAAATATGTAGATGTGCTAAGCTTGAAAATAATCGGACGGTTATTTTGCGTTCTATGATTTTCATGATTATTTAAAATGTAAACCGCTTTGTGAGGGAAGTACCAGAAAAAGGGGACATATACAGGGTGAGATAAAAAAACTGCAACAAAGTCAAACGCCATAATTTTTACCTTTTTTAAATTTTATTGAATAATTACAAAAAATGTCGGAAATATCATCAAATTTTAGAATAAGTTTAAATTTGTTCGAATTTTTCAACTTTTGCCTTCAAAGGGCCAATAAAACCGTCACACGCTGCCCGAATATTGGTCTGCGGTATTTTGGCCCATTCCCGGCGAAGCGCTTGCTTGAGGTGATCGACACTTTGGTATTTTTTAGTGCTAACCTTGCTTTCCAGACACAATAGCCCAACGGATTGATATCCGTAGATTTTGGTGGCCATTGTGAGCTGGAAATGAGGCGAGGAACCTAATTTTATAACCATTCTTGGGTGGCGCGTGTTGAGTGCGATGGTGCTGAGTCCTGTTGGAATGTCCAAGGTCTGCGGCCAAAATGTTTGCATGCCCAGGGCTTTAATACGTACTTCAGAATATTTCTGGATAATAATCGTCATTTATTCTGATGTCATTGTCGATTTTTACCAGAGGAGAGCGACCATCGGCTGTTATGGCGGCACACGCCATGACCATGGTCGGCGCTTGTTTTCTGGTGGCCAATCGAAGGTGCACATTTTTAGCATATTTCTTTGACAAGTAAACACGATCATTTTCTTAGTTTACAAACTGCTGGAAAACGAATGTTTTCTCATCGGAAAAAACCAAATTCAACAGTTTACCACTTTCGGCCAAGTGAAGCAACTCTTTAGCTCTTTTAAGTCTATTTTCTTTCTGTTGCGTTATAAGTTCTTGCACTTTTTGGAATTTCAATGGCTTTACCCCGAGCTCATTTTTCAATATTTACCGAATGGAATATTGCGATATGTTCAGCTCACGAGTCATTTTCGGCCACTGCGACGCGGGCTTAGATTAAGTCACTTCTTTACTTTTCGAAACATCTCTGCTGATGCTGCTGTTTTCTTCCGTCCACTCCCTTGACGTCTGGCTACGCCACCAGTATCACGGAAACGAGCGATAGTACGAGATACAAAAGATTTATTCACATTTAAATGCTGGAGTGCTCGAACAATAGCCACTTGTGGTTTCCAGCCAAATATATAGAAATTATACTATCACGCATAAATTCCATCACGAATAACTTTTTTTTCGCGAAAATGCCAAAATGCTTTTGTACGCTTGTAAACAATGTAATGAGCTGTCACTGGAATAATTTTAACAGCTGTCAGAAAAGTGGCTTAGAAATGACAACAGTCTGAAATTGGTTGCAGTTTTTTCATCCCATCCTATATCCCATCTTCACACCAAATCTTGCGTTCATGAAAATATTGGGATATATGAAATTTGAAGAGAAATGGATCCTTATTTTGAATTTTATATCTCTCATAAAATTATTCAAAAATTTGACAGTTGTAGGGGAGGTAGCAGAAGGAGTGGTCCGATGTATTAAGTTTGTACTAAATTGAATATTCCTTTCTGGTTCCATACGGTAAATTGTTTTTTGGGAAAATGTTGAACTTTTGTGGAGGAGGTACCAGAAGGAGTGGACCGCTTTTGCCCATCTCCGAACTCGATCTAAGTTTGACAATAATATTATGATGTACCAAGCTTGGATCAAACCGGCCACCATATATATATATATATATATATATTTGCGATTATTTTTAAAAATAGCTCCTTTTGCACTCTTCGTGCATTTCCACCAATAACATATTATTATTATTATTATTATTATTATTATTATTATTATTATTATTATTATTATTATTATTATTATTATTATTATTATTGTTGAAAAGGCAAGTAGGCCGAGCTGGTGGTTTCCACTGGGATTTTGAATAAAATACAACTTGTTCCATAAAAGTTGATTTATTTCACAAAATGTATTTCTATTAAAATTCCTAAATTACAAAAAAAATTAGGAATTAAAAAACTATAAAATAGTAAATATAAAACAAGCCATACTTTTTGGTATGAAACCACAAAAACTTTTAAAATAGTTCAAAAAATCAGTTCCTGAGCACAGCGTATTATCCAACTTATTGGTATTTATTCAGGACAGAAAATGGCGGTACTCAGGGACGCTACTTGACATTTTTTCTAAGTTTCGTTAAATATTTACAATAAATTGACATTCCAAAAATTATTATTTCATAAGCAACAGTGTTGCAAGATCGTTTACAAATCAATGAGATTTTGGGAGTGCCGCTAACATTCCCCCCGCAGTATGGCAAGGAACCTTTCCGCTGCCAGACTCTCGTTGAGGGGCTACGTCCAAAATTGCCAATTTAGTTACAGGCCGATCCATGATACCTCGTTGTGTGAGCACTTTTGCACTACGGACCTGTCCATCACTTGCCAATCTCGTTTGAAGTACTTTACCACGCAGCCAAACATTTCGAGGTAGAGAAGGATCAACAATAATCACTAAGTCCCCCTGACATAATGGTTTAGATTTTTCGTACCATTTCGACCTACAAGTTAACGAAGGCAAGAATTCAGCTAACCACTTTTTCCAAAATATGTTTGCATATTGTTGTGAAAGCAGCCAATTTTGCTTTAATAATATGCCACTGTCGCTGCAAACTGATATCGGTTTTAACCCACTTGAACTTCCCACTAGGAAGTGATTTGGAGTTAAAGCCTCTGACGTTTCGTCGTCCACAGGAACATAAGCAAGAGGCCTAGAATTTACGATATTTTCAACTTCTATTAAGGTACTTAATAGGAGCTCATCACTAGGACACCTTGCTGGTATAATTTTATATAAAATAGTTTTAATTGATCGTACAAGCCGCTCCCACGCACCTCCCATGTGAGGTGAGGCAGGAGGATTAAAATTCCATTTTGTCGTAGTACTAGTGAAAGTTTTTACTAACTCATCCTTATCTACCTCAGTTACCGCCTCACGTAACTCTCTCTCTGCGCCAACAAAATTTGTGCCATTGTCACTATAGAATTCAAGTGGAATTCCTCTTCGTGCCATAAAATTTCGAATGGCTAGAATACATGAACTTGTTGTCAGCGAATATGCAACCTCGATGTGAATTGCTCGTATGGTCAAACATGTAAACAGACATCCATATCTTTTTTCCTTGTGACGATTGACGGTGACCAATATGGGACCAAAGAAATCTATTCCGGTAAAAGAAAATGGTGCACCGAATGAAGCCAGTCGTGCTCTAGGCAATTTTGCCATTTGTGGACTTTGTGGAATAGCTTTGTGGATTTTACACATTTGACAGGATCGTGTTATTGTTTTAAATGTCGTACGTAGTCTGGAAATCGAGAATTTTTGTCTGATTTCATTGATGGCTGTCTCATGATTCATATGGTGAAATTTCTCATGATAGTGTAACAATATCAGTTTTGTTATATGACATTCTCGAGGTAAGATAATAGGGCGTTTTTGTTCCCAAGGCACATCTGCTTCATCAATTCTTCCATACACACGTAAAACGCCATCTTCCAGATACGGTGATTTGCAATAAATATCGCTGGATTTGTGTATAGAGGCTTTCGACATAAGTTGTGATATTTCTGCGGAATATGTTTCACTTTGAGCCTGCCTATATAAAATTGTTTCTGCTCGTTTTAGCTCCTCTTGAGTTAATTCATGAGTTTGTTTCTTAATTCTGCGACAATTGTTAATAAATCGTAGTACATATGCAGCCGTCCTTAAAAGGCGGACCCATTTCGAAAATCTGAGTACATCAAAGGTTGTATATAATGTTGTAATTTTAAAAGAATGATGTACTCGTTCTACTTCCGTTGGCTCAGGATGAGCACTTGTTTTAGGCCACTCCTCCTCAGGCAAATGTAAAAATCTGGACCGTTAAACCATCTACTATCTATAGAAATTACAGGTATCTTCGACCATTTTGTAGCATCGTCAGCTACGTTTTGCTTACTTGGGACCCACTTCCATTCATTGAGCGAAGACAACTCTAAAATCTCTGTGACTCGAAAAGCCACAAACTGATTATATTTTCTGGCATCAGAATTGATCCAGCTTAGCACTGTTTTTGAATCAGACCAATAATATTTTTTAGATATTTTAATATCATGATTTTCCATTACAAATTTGGCAAAACGAGAACCTATAAGGGCGGCCATAAGTTCAAGACGTGGCACAGATGTAATCTTAATAGGTGCTACCCTGGTTTTCGACCCCACAATGGAGCAAACGATTGTATCATTCTTTTTCAATCTGAAATAGCAGACGGCTGCATAACCATCTTTGCTTGCGTCGACAAAGGTATGCAATTGCACCTCTGTATCTGTATGGGTATCAAAAGATCTTAAATAACAACGGGGAATTTTAATATTTGTATTTCGGGTAAAATATTGACCCATTGGATCCACTTTCGGTTCAATTCAAGGGGAATCGATTCGTCCCACTCTATTTTGGCCCTCCAAACTTCTTGCATAAGAATCTTTACATACATTATAATGTGTCCGATGAGACCGAGCGGGTCGTAAATAGACATAACTAATCTTAGCATTTGCCTTTTAGTGGGAGATTTTTTATTCGAAAATATATCGCTTTCCATAAGCCAGTTAGAAATTTTGAATGTTATTACATCCTCCAAATATTCCCAAAATACTCCCAAAACCTTCTCAATCTGTTGGTTTTCTTTGAAATTTAGGCATTTAACGTTCTGTGCTTCGATTGTAGGAAGAGAATCCATTACAAATTGGTTGTTACAGATCCAATTACGAATATTAAAACCGGCTTGGCGGTGAATATATGACACTTCGGTAATTAATTGAATAGCCTCCTGAGCAGTATCCACGGAATCCAGAAGATCGTCTACATAATGATTTTCTATTATTGATTTGGATGCAGTAGGAAATTGTCTTTTAAATTGAGCTGCATTATGATTTTTCACATACTGTGAAATGCTTGGAGCACATGTGGCACCGAATATCATTACATCCATTACGTATATTTCGGGAATTTTCTCCTGCATACACTCTCGCCACAAAAATCTTTGTACGTCGCGATCTTCACGCCGTATATAAATTTGGTGGAACATCTCCTCAATGTCTCCACATATAGCCACAGATTTTTGCCGAAATTTAAAAAGAATTGATGGTAATGAAGCTAAAAAGTCAGGTCCTTTTAAAAGAAATGAATTTAAAGATGATCCATTTGATTTTGCTGCTGCATCCCAAACTACGCGCGATTTACCGGGTTTGTTTCTATTAAAGACAGCGAAAATTGGTAGATACCAAACTCTTCCATCGGCTCGATCAATTTCATTTTCTTTCAATTTTCTTATGTAGCCCTTAGATAGGTATTTTGACAATGTTTCTTTAAATGTGTTGAAAAGCTCGTCATTTTGCTTTAATTTTCGCTCTAAGCAAACAAGGCGTTTGAAGGCCATATCATAACTGTCAGGCAATTTTACTAAATCGAATTTCCATAATAATGGAACTATATAGTTACCATTGGCATTTCGTTTTGTAAAGTTATCTAATAGATGCAACGCGCGTTGTTCGCTTTCAGCAATAAGAGGGTCTTTTATGCTAATCCCCACGCTATCAAGAGCATAATAGCTTCTGACCAACTTGTCTAAATCATTATCACTCGCAGAACACTCACATATATGATAATTAAAGTGCTTACCTGAGTTCTTGTTCTCTGCGACTGTGCCGTATATTAGCCATCCAAGTTGTGTTCGTACAGCAACGGGCTCATACGGGGATCCCTCACGGACTTTATTATGAATTCCTAGGTCGAAATGATTCAATCCAATTAACAACATTGGCACAGCATTACTATAACTTTTCACAGGAAGATTTCGCAAGTGGCGATAATTTTGCGCCATAACTCTATAATCCAGCGATTGGGATGGTAAATTTAGCGAATTTACAGTAAAAACATTCATGTTGAAGCGCTTTCCATTTCCACCTGAAATACCTATTTTTACTTTTTGTGAACTATTTTCCGTTCTTTCCATACCTCCAGTCCACCGAAGGCAGAGGGGGTTGGAAATGCCCTCCACATCCAATTGGTTCACTAACGACTCGTCCATTAAACTGATTGAAGATCCGTCATCTATGAAAGCATATGTGTTTATGCTTTTATCTTTTCCATATATTTTTACAGGAATTATTTTGAACAAAATATTTTTTATTTCAGCACTATGTGAGTTGTTTACTACTTCTTCTATATGCAAATTGTTTACATTGTCATTTGACATTTCATTATGTTCATTTGCAGGTTGTGAATATCGATGTAATGACGAGTGGTGAAAATATTCGCACCCCTCTTTACCACATTTCTTCTTCTTTCTGCACTCATCGTTGTGCTTACACAAACAAAACTTGCAAAGTTTGTTCCTTTTCACCACATTCCATTTCTCTCCACGATCGAGTGAGAGGAATGTTTGACAGCTAGCTACTGCTTTGCAGTTGTTGTTGCATACAACACATTTACGTTCATCGCTATGAGTATAAACGTAATCTTTTTTGTATGCTTTTTTGTTATTTGCTGATATTTTGTCTTTATGGTTTGTTGTTGTTTTCGAACAGTGAGGTTCAACTGCTATACTACTGGCAGTGATGCCAATGCTGAATATCCATTTGTCAAATTCAGATAAATTTGGATTTTTGTTTTGGTTCATCAACTGCATTTTGTAATTTGCCCATTGCATTTGATACGAAGGGGGGAGCTTTTGTATCAAATCAAAGAGAAGAGATGAATTATTTATTTCATCATACAAATTGCTGGCGGTGATGGTGGAAATTAGGCTTCGGACTTTTATCGCAAATGTGGTAAGTGTTTTTAGATTGTTTTCATCAACTACTGGCGACGATTTTATTTTATATTTTATTGAATTGATAATTTTTTCAGGTTGGCCGTACAGCAATCGAAGTACCTCAACTACTCCTGGTACATTAGCAGGATGAATCAACATTTGTTGCACGCTTGGAGAGCTTCTCCCTTAAGAGATTTTTGAAGACGGATTAAGTTTTCCGCATTAGTGAAGTTGCAGGCGGCAGTTGACCATTCCAAAGTGGAAATAAAAGTGGGCCATTCTTCCGGATTGCCAGAGAATGGTGGCAATTCCTTCGGCATGGATTGCCTAGCATTTATGTGCGACTGTAGTAGCCTGTTGTGAGGTTCCAGACTTACAGGTGGACAAAATGATGTCGCTGTATTGGCATTAGGAGAAATATTCATAGTCGAAGACATCGGTTCATTCTGTAAGAACGTATGTGGAGCTGAATCCTTAATGTATGACTGCTGACGTGGCTGATGAGAAGCGAAATTCGTATTGCGATTCAGTGGAGCTGGATCCTCATTAGGTGAAATATTCATGGTGGTAGAAATTGGAGCAGTTTGTAAAAAGGTGTGGGGAGCAGAATTATTAATAATTGTTGGCTGATAAGGACGAAAATTTGCATTGCGAATTAGTGGAGGTCGAGGTAAATGTGGATTTACGGTTACATGAGGAAGATGATCAATGACACCTGACTGCACTTCTGGGTGGCAGACGCTTGTAGTTGCCGTGTACATTGCACGATTTGGTATTGACAAGGTACTCGCAGAAGCAGTGGAGACAATGGGCACGAATGAAGTATTTGCAGTTTGGTGATTATGATTTATTTGCATGTTTGTTTTTGGTTTATTTTGCGTATTGGCGTGACCTGATATGTCACAATAAACAATCTCGTGGGGCAAGCTTGAAGCTTGCTGATTTGTGTTGGTACATTGATTATTAGCGGCAGATAGATGCCTATCTTCAGGGAGAATTTCTGATGTTTCATCTTGATCTGGAACTTTATTTAGCCAATTTTGTACTGTTCGGGATTTGTTAGACGAAGTATCACTTATATCTTCGGCTTCCTCAAGAAGTTGGTATTTTTTATTTAGATATTCTGTATTAAATATTCGCTCTTCTTCAAGTCTTTTAAGTTGTAATTGAATTTTACGCGAATGTGACTTGTTAGAATGAGCAGAACTCCGAGTTGTAGCAGTGGATGCTGGTGAGTTAGGTCGTATGACGGAGCACTGCGGACATTTTTGGGTTATGTCCGACGTGGAATTTTTGCAGTTGAATTTTTTGTTGCATTCTATGCAATATTTCTCATTTTCGTCAGGGGATTTTTGACTTAGTGAAATATTGTGATCATTGTGTTGCTGACCTTCTGAATTTGATAACTCCATTTTCTACTTACTGCGAGATTGGCAGGTTATTGTAGACGCTGCAGTTGGCCCAGGATGAGCCCACAAAAAGAATTTTAAAATGTTGAAAAGGCAAGTAGGCCGAGCTGGTGGTTTCCACTGGGATTTTGAATAAAATACAACTTGTTCCATAAAAGTTGATTTATTTCACAAAATGTATTTCTATTAAAATTCCTAAATTACAAAAAAAATTAGGAATTAAAAAACTATAAAATAGTAAATATAAAACAAGCCATACTTTTGGTATGAAACCACAAAAACTTTTAAAATAGTTCAAAAAATCAGTTCCTGAGCACAGCGTATTATCCAACTTATTGGTATTTATTCAGGACAGAAAATGGCGGTACTCAGGGACGCTACTTGACATTTTTTCTAAGTTTCGTTAAATATTTACAATAAATTGACATTCCAAAAATTATTATTTCATAAGCAACAGTGTTGCAAGATCGTTTACAAATCAATGAGATTTTGGGAGTGCCGCTAACAATTATTATTATTATTATTATTATTATTATTATTATTATTATTATTATTATTATTATTATTATTATTATTATTATTATTATTATTATTATTATTATTATTATTATTATTATTATTATTATTATTATTATTATTATTATTATTATTATTATTATTATTATTATTATTATTATTATTATTATTATTGTTATTATTATTATCATTATTACTATTTTTATTTAAATAAAAATTCCTAGCTTCCATATCATTCAATAACTCCAAGTGTCTTCGTGATGTATACGTCATATATATTGCAACTAAACCAACATACTGTAACAAGTATACGCCCGCCATCATAACATCTTCGCCACACCACTACTAAGTACTTACAAGTTATTCCCATTAATTTCTGAGCAAATTTTAAATTGCCAAAATTATGTAGGTATGAAATATTACATGTCATGTTGTTTACATACATACTTGTACATTCATATCTCAAGCCAGGGCTTATCAGCAGGATATCGAGTAAAGCATAATGATTTCCTCGTGTCACTTTCACTCAACAACAACAACAGCGAGACGCAACACACACACACACACCACCCAAACTCACAACGTAAAGTGTCATTAAGCAAAGAGCGACAACGAGTGAGCATATGTCCGTTCCACTGCATTGCCATTTCAAAGTGATGTTAAGTCAATAGCTAACAATAACTTAACCTTAAAATATTGAAAATATTTATGTTTGTGTTTTTTTTTCCTTTTACTTTGGACATGTTCATTACTTTGTTTGCTCTTTTACACTCTGGGTTTGCTTTTTGGCAATTAATGACACGAAAAATCAACCTCACCGCCGCCGCTATTTCCACCATCTCCATCAGTTAAAGTTTCAACACACAAACGAACACATTCACATAGGCTGTTAAAAGGCATCAATGTAGCACTCCCATTGTTCGGCAATATTGAACAACACGTGTTATTTTCGAATATTTATTAAATTCATACGCTACATGGGTTTATGTATTTTTAATGAACACATATTGCGTACATTAAGGTGGGTGACGATGTGTGAAGTAACGATTAGTGAGAAAAGTTAAATAAATAGGGCAGATAAAATAAGTTCAATTAGTTTCGCAATGCGTAATTTCTAATTATATCGTTGAAAAAATCTATCTGTGAGCTCTCAATTTTTTTCTACAACACTATGTGTTCAGTATATTACAAATTTGATTGCGCAAAAAAGTTTAGAACACCTCAAAATATTGGTCCTAGTGCCATGATATTATGTATAGATATTCTAATCTCGCCGAGCTGTGTCGATGTATCTACAGGCTGAGTTAAAAAAGCAACAAAGTCAAACTCCATAAAGAAACCAGTAAGGAAAGCTCAAAAGTCGGGCGGGGCCGACTATATGATACCCTACACCACTATGCATATTTAGTAGAGCTCTCGTAAAAAGGTTTATACAGGGCATTTCAGAGCTCTATGAGATATTTTGTACAAAATCAAAATCTATCTAATTCTATCGTGCATTTTACGAACTATAGCTATCTCTGAACCGGGTTTCTCCAAATTTGACGTATTAGCTTCTAGACTGGATTAGGTCTTATGTACGAAAATTCATGCCATTTGGGCTGATATAGGCCATTTGATGCACAATTAACACGAAATCGGATGAAGATATATATGGGAGCTATAGCTATATCTGAACCGATTTTTACTAAAATTGGTGTACTTGCTTCTAAGCTGGTTTCGGTCGGATTTGCCAAAATTGATGCTATTACGGCCATTTGGTTGTCAATCACCCAAAATCGGATGAGGATATATATGGGAGCTATATCTAAATCTGAACCGATTTCGGTAAAATTTAAAACAGCTATTCCTGTGCTCCATCTAATACCTGGTACCAAATATCACGGTTGTGGAGTGAATATTACGAATGTAAGGGACTAAAACTCTAAATCGGATGAAACATATATATGGTTGCTATATCTATATCTGAACCGATTTTCACTAAATTTGATATACTTGCTTCTAGGCTGAATTTGGTCCGATGTACTAAAATTCAGTCCATTTGGACTTATATCGGCCATTTGGTGCACAATTAACCCGAAATCGGATGAAGATATATATGGGAGCTATATCCAAATCTGAACCGATTTCGATTAAATTACAAACAGCTATTTCTGGGCTGTATCTTATATCTGGTATCAAATATCATTCTTGTGGAGTGCATATTACGAATGTGAGAGGCTTAAACACCAAATCGGATGAAAGATATATATGGGAGCTATAGCTATATCTGAACCGATTTTCTCCAAATTTGACATACTTGCTTCTAGGCCGAACTCGGTTGGGTGTGCCAAAATTCAGGTAATTTGGACTGATAGTGGACATTTGGTGTACATTTTACCCGAAATCGGATGAAGACATATATGGGAGCTATAGCTGTTTCTGAACCGATTTTCTCCAAATTTGTTGTATTTGCTTTAGGGTTAATCTCGGTCACATGTGCCAAAATTCTGGCCATTTGGGCTGATATTGGCCATTTTGTGGTCATTTAACCCGAAATCGGATGAAGATATATATGGGAGCTATATCCAAATCTGAACCGATTTCGATAAAATTTAAAACAGCTATTTCTGTGCTCCATCTAATACCTGGTACCAAATATCACGGTTGTGGAGTGCATAGTAGGAATGTGAGGGACTTAAAGATCAAATCGGATGAAAGATATATATGGGAGCTATAGCTATATCTGAACCGATTTTCTCCAAATTTGATATACTTGCTTCTAGGCCGAACTCGGTTGGGTGTGCCAAAATTCAGGTAATTTGGACTGATAGTGGATATTTGGTGCACATTTAACCCGAAATCGGATGAAGATATATATGGGAGCTATATCTAAATTTGGTCCGATTCTCACCAATTTCAATAGGGTTCGTCCTTGGGCCCAAAAAATATTGTTTGGAAAATTTCATCTCAATCGGATAATAAATGCGACCTGCATTTTGTTCTCAAGAATACATGGACAGACGGACGGACGGACAGACGGACTGACATGCATAAATCGACTCAGAAAGTGATTCTATGAAGGTTCTCAAAAGTAACTATGGGTCTATCTCGTTTCCTTCTCCATGTTACAAACAAATGCACGAAGACATAATACCCTTACCACTATGTGGTGTAGGGTATAAAAATGTCGGAAATAGCATCAAATTATAGAATACGTTTAGATTTGTATTTGTATATTCGGCATTTATTCTGATGCCCCGGTCGATTACTACGAGCGGAGAGTTGTTATGACGGCCCACACCATCACCATGGCTGGCGCTTGTGGCCAACCGAAGGTGCACATATTCAGCTGACCTCTTTGGCAAGTAAACACGATCATTTTGTTTGTTTACAAACTGCTGGACACCAAATGTTTTCTCATCGGAAAAAACAAATCCGGCATTTCACCACTTTCGGCTAAGCGAATCAACTCTTTAGCTCTTTTGAGTCTATTTTGTTTCTGTTGCGGTGCAAGTTTTGTTTTGGAATTTCAGTGGCATTACCCCGAACTCATTTTTCAATATTTGCCGTATGGAATATTGCGATTGTTGAACCTGACGAGCCATTTTTTCGGCCACTGCGACGCGGGTTTCGATCAAGTCGCTATTTTACTTTTCGAACTGTTTCTGCTGATGTTGCTGGTTTTTTCCGTCCACTTCCTTGACGTCAGGCTACGCTACCAATTCCACGGTACTGAGCGACGAGACACAAAAGATGTATTCATATTTAAATGCTGGAGGGCTCTAACTGCTAAATGCTTTTGTACGCTTATAAACAATATAATGAGTTGTCACTGGAGTAATTTTAACAGCTATCGGACGAGTGTCTTAGAAATGACTCACTCTGTATACAGCGAACGGCTGCAGGTTTGATGATGTTTCGGAAAATCCTTTCTGCTACTTGAACTTCACTACGAAAACTACGATTAGGAATTATCTGAACTCTGGCCATGATTAAAGAAAGTGGGGCGTTCAGAGGTTATGAAATCGGGCAACCTGTCTATGAAAACTATTATCGGGAGATGGTCTGAGCCAAAAAAAATTAAATTTTAGTTCGACTACAACTACCACATCATATTAACCAGACAGGTCAACCAACCAGCTTTTGAGGTTTCCCACCAGTCTGGTTCTGTCAGAGGATTTTCAATAAAATAATTCTTATTATAAGTTTTTAAATAATTGCAACTGAATATTAGAGTTTATTTATTTATTTATTTTTTTGTATCCACTCTATTATACTTTACGAAATATGTCTTAATTTTTCACCATGTTTTTGCGCTGCTGCTGATTGCTGTTGTCGATAGGGGCTGTTGCTAAGACTCGTATTTCATTTAATGAAAAATTCATCATCAAATGCATGTTTTGTTTCCTGCGGTGCTGACAACTTTGTCTTGTTCCCTTTTGTTGCTCCTTTTTGTTTGTTGTTTTGTTGCGATAATGGGTTTCGGTATCTTGCGTGTGTACTTC